ATAACTCCCAAAATATTAAACTGGCTGCAATAACCATCATTAATAGAGCCGTTGAAGTTCTTCTATCAACTCTAGCAGCCAGTGAGAGTTGGGAACAAGCAAAGCTACTGGACAGATCCCTTGTGGGGACAGTGGAAAATGAGACCAATTCCTTGGCTGATGTAAACTATCACAGTTCTATTGACATTGCTGGGTTTTGTACCAGCTGATGATCCGGCCCTGGGAATGCATAATAAACATTTCTAATTTCAAAGTGTCAAGCGTGCATGCACCTTTTTCTGAGGAAAATCTGGCAAATTTGTGATTTGAAATAAGACATAAAAAGGGCTTTGTTTAAATTCTTGTAAAATTTCCCTTTGTTATCAGGTTGAAAATCACCTCTGAGCTGAGGGAAGGCCCAAAGTCTATACATTGATTTAAAGCCCAATTTTACAGACTTGCTTAGGACCTATTTGCCATATAGTCCTTGTTCTGCAATTCTGAACAGAAGTGAATTTCACCCTGAGAAATGTAGTTGGGTATGCACACCTTTGGAGCTAAAATGGGCCAATTTTACAACAAAACCCAGATCATTTCTATATGAAAATGGAGAAAATAACCCCCCTTTCCTCCACTCCCTCCTTTTCCTTAATCAGAGTCTGTATTTGCAAGTAAATCATGGAAAAACTGGTGGCAGAGAAGGGGGAGTTAAGTTCTTGATGCAAGAATACCCATTTCTTTGAACCTGCTGTCAAAGGGAAATCAATGAGAGAGAGGGATGTGAAAGCAAATTACTAGTAGCTCTAGTTCTAATTGCTAGTAGAGCAAAATTCCGCTCAGTGAAATTGTGAATGATACCAATTGATCCTGATGGGTTTGAGTCACCTATAGAATTGAGACCGATTTGATTCAGAGACTTGATTCACAATCCCCCCAGAATGAGGAAGCCAGGTCTGCACCTTTGTGTCATGAATCTGTTCTCCAAGCTATGATTTTTCTCTCTTCCTTATAATGAGCCTGCTTCTGCCTCCCTCCCCCATCCCCACAATGTCTATTGTAAGAGCCCTATTGATTTCCATGGGCTTTGGATCAGACCCAGTAATGAAGTCCAGGAAATGCCTCTTCCTTCGCCCCACCCCAATCTGCAGTTATGAGTCACCTGGCTCTTCTGAGGATTGTTTTAATTGTTCTGAATTGCTCGCTGGAATTCTAATTGGGAATTCTTCAAGTACTGGTCCCTATGGGTATGTCTACACTACAAAGTTAATTCGAACTAACGGACGTTAGTTCGAATTAACTTTCATAGGCGCTACAGTAGTGCTCCGCTAGTTCGAACTTAATTCGAACTAGCGGAGCGCTTAGTTCGAACTAGGAAAACCTCATTTTACGAGGATTAAGCCTAGTTCGAACTAGCTAGTTCGAATTAAGGGTTGTGTAGCCCCTTAATTCGAACTAGTGGGAGGCTAGCCCTCCCCAGGTTTCCCTGGTGGCCACTCTGGAAAACACCAGGGAAACTCTACTGCCCCCCTCCCGGCCCCGGCCCCCTTAAAGGGGCACGGGCTGG